GGCATACCACAGATGGCCTCGCGGCAAAGGATCCTACTTCTGAAAGCATTCCCCAACAGAACTCTCCTTTGGAGAATCTATAATTTGGAGATTATAGATTATTAATCCAGTATTCCATCCAGACCACAAGATCCAACCCCTCAGGATTCAGCAAAGTGATCAAACCTTAGACTGCAGTATCCACCGTAGTACGAACACAATAGACAAATGAAATATAAATAAATCTATTTAGCATTTGAAACAAGGAAAATTGTACCGTCAAATTTCATCAGACCACATTGTTTTTAGGGTTGTGTTGTGGTGTCTGGGATGTTTGGAAATTTTGTTTCCTTGATCTGGGTTCATCTTTAACTCCATCGTAACGGTTCATTCCGGGACTCGACAGTTTTCTTGTCACGATTATCCATTCCGAGAAATCACACGATTCCACTGAATTCCACTGACTCACAGTGAGGGGGGTGACGGGTCCATTTTTGAAAAGTCACATGCAGGGAACAAAAAAAACATCAAAAACACTCTTTCCCCGATGAAAGGTTAATCATTGCAAGCAACTTTATCCCATTGGTCATTAAACTGGGATTGAACTGGGTCAACATTCTGTTTTCCGACGCAGGTAGACCTCGCTTTCCCCTCATTTACGCCTGCTTACCCGCTTTGATCACTCAGTCTGCCTGATGTCAAGATGCGAGACGCTGACTGAGGAACTGAGAAATGGAGGGCCTGACATCCTGGTGTCCCATTTAAAACTCCACTTCAAACCAAAGTGTAATCTGCAGCGCGCCACAAGTTGGAAGCGGCCTGACGCCGTGTTTTAATGCGATTGAGAAAGTGTGTCGTTTGCCTCCTTCTTTTTGGAGGACTTCAAAAAAAAAAAAAAAAAAAAGAAGTGAGCAACCGAGTCGTGTGATGTTTTTCTTTCTTTCTTTTTTTTTCCGGGGAGGGATGGCAGAGCCTTTACTTTGACTCTTTCATCTGCCGGGTGAGTCACTCCCTCACCGCCACCGGGCCTGATGCTGCACTGTGGAGCTCCGATTTGTGCGCGCACGCATCAACAAACACGAACGCTGGCGTACAAAACAACAACAGAGAACATCTCTTTTCTCTTTGAAACAATGCCGTATTAATATCACAACGGTCAAAGTTCAGAACACATCAAAGCATGTTGGCGTGTCACCACGATTAAGCCGCCCACATCCTTCAACTTGAACTCGTTCTTTCCCAAAAATCGGATCCTTTTCTCCGCTCTTTTGTCTCTTAAGTGAATGTGGGCCCTCTTTGATCATCCTTGGCCCGTGTTGCTCATTTTAATCCATGAGCGAGGGTGTAATGTGATTTCGTGTATCTCCAAATGGCAGAGGACCGACCCCGGTAAATCAGTGGTGACGGGGCGGGGCCAAAGAAGATGAACAAATCACACTCACAGTGACTGCAACCTCATATTCAAACTCCAAAGTCTTGATTGAAGGAGTCTGAAAGGATTACTAGAGTTGGGAGTCCACAGTCATGGACTGCCGCACACGTGCGCGATGCTTCCGACCAGACCATTGGAAAAAGTGGCCACGCAACCCCGCACATGAAGTCCTGGATACTTTTAATGTGCTAAAAAAATCGGAAGGCCTCCTGACCTTTTGTCTCACACCAAACAGTGAGAAGCATACTGGAGAAAAGAGCTTTTCTCTACGAAACAAACATCAAGCTCATCTAGCGGCTGCCACTCTTGTGTGGCCACGCCGGCGCAAACATCTGTCCACAAGCCTCCTGTCAAATCGGACGTATTTTTTCTCCCCCCCCCTTTCCTCCTCCGAATTCTCTCTCTCTGAGAGAGGTGCGCGTGCACAGCAACCACGAGGCACTCTAAAGTGCCCACACCAGCAGAAAATATGAAGTGAAGATACATTTTCTGGGTTGCAGGGCGTGGCTAACTAGATAAATGCATGACGCAATGCCGTGTGCATGTGTGGCGTCACTGGGCGGTGTTTTAGACACGCCCCTCATCTAAAAAAAAAACAAAAAAAACAAATGACAAAAAAACCCCACTTCAGCACGATATCTCCACAATTTAGTACTGCATAGCTTTGAGTCTTTGCACGTTTTGCGCGATTATCTCCAAAACGTGTTGCGTTTGAAGCAACACATCTCTGAAAATCACTTTACAGGCTTTTCAACAGCTTCCTTGATGACATCAGTTTGGACGGAAGTTATTCCGCATATAATTGACCCCAACGCCTTGTTGGTTTCAAAGTCCGTAAGAAAGGCCGAGCGGATTCCCTCACGCTATTTCTGTCAAAGCTTGCGATACGACAAACTGCATTCTACTTGTCAAGACTGACTCATTATTCCGTATATAAGTTAGACTCTACATTATGACAGGGGAGAGGTGCAGGCGTGGGTGGGGAGGGGAGGACGGGGGGGGGGGGTGCGGTTGGGGTGCATCGAGGAAAAAGAAAAGTTAGATAAGGAGGTGGTGTGGGTGAAAGAGGGGAAGCTGGAGCTTTGCTGTATTCCAGAGATGAGGCGTCTTTATCAGGCAGCGAGGTGGCTTCACAGGCCTGTCAGTGGAGCACCGAGATTGGAGGACACACACACACACGCACACGCACACACACACACACACACACACACACTTGCAAAGATAAAGTTCAATGGCAATACCTAAAAAGCTCCTCCCTACCTACCTAGCTACACACCTTCTCCTCACCATCCCCTTTTCCTCTGGATTTCTACCGCTAAACTAAAAAGCAGGGAACCAGCTTTTTCTTATCGTCTCTGATATTCTGTTTCTCATTATTTTACTCGCAAAACATCCCCAACCTCTCCGTCTCCCCACCCCGCTTTTAAACATCTTTGATGAGAATCCATTCATGGATTTAATGGATTTCTCTGGCCTTTTTTTTCCTGGAACTGGGAGATGTGTTTGAAAAAAAAAACAAAAAAAACAAAGAAACTGGCCTGCCCAGGCTGCGCTTCCAAGAGCATAGTGGACTGCAGAGGACAGCGTTTTTCGTGCGCATCAAAAAGAATGAGACATTTTAAGCTTACCAAACAGGGCCATGCAGTCAATATAGATCTGAGGCCTGGCTGACTTCAGTCCACATGTGGGAACGAAAAACAGGGTGCAACAAAGTAGGAAGTTTTCCCTCGTCGCTACCAAGTCAAACTTGGAGATGGATTAAAAAGTAGCGGGGGGGAATTTATTTTTTTCTTTTCCAAGAAGGCAAAAAAAAAAAAAAAAGACGCAATCATTCATCTTTTTTTATAAAATGTAAAAGTAGTACATAGCTGACATTCGTATCAATCCAAGTTCAGCATTCGATGCTTTGAATCTACTCCAGATTCTCACACAACTGTGGGTCATGTACAAGAAGAAAGATAGGATACCGAAAATAAAGTGCCTTGACCAATCCAAAAGCAAAAAAAAAAAAAAAAAAAAAAAAAAAAAAAAAAAACCAGGGGAAGGGGAAATAGCTCGACTCTTTCAAGTGGGAATCGCCCTGCAAGTACCTCATTCTCTTCTTCCCTGGTTCTGTGTGCCACATGAAGCCCCCCAAAAAAGGCCACTTTGTTTCTTCATTTTGGGAGTTAATGCTGCACATCTGGCGAATGGATGGTGTCTAATGAAAAACGCGAGCTTTGATGGGTCCTACCGGGAAGAGGGGTGGGGGTGGAGGGGGGGATTAACGTCTGATCAACACCACCTTAAATTGGCTTCCTGCGAGGGCAGCACAAGATTACGGCCAATTTCCCCGGCCGCTCTGCTTGCGGTAGTAGCAAAAGGTTACAACGCAGTACAAAAGGAAAGGCTCCTCCTCAGGTTTGAAGTTCACCCGGATTGGGTAAGAAAGCAAAAATGCACAGCTGGAGAGTGGATCAACGCGAAAACCGTCATTTCCACTCCACATGTGACCTCTTGAGCAATTCATAGAACTTTCATGAGTCATAATTGTACTCGACCGTGTCCTTAACGATATATGAATGATTACAACTAATACTGAAATGAATTCGAACTAAACTACCGTATTTTCATGATCTACAGGCGCACTTAAGAGTCATCAATTTTCTCCAAAATGGACGGGCCTGCTTGAAACGGCCAAAGTCAATTTATGGTGACGATGGCGAACACAACTTTACTGAGACTGGGAAGCAGCGCTGGGTTACACCACAATTTGTGAATGGATTAGCAAAAGCCGGCATCATTTCTGAGGAGCCGCACGGCAACGAGACTGACTCTGACAATGACACGAAGGGAGCTGGCATGTTTGATTGTGAACTGGCTCAGCTATTCATTTGGGATACAGACGATTAGGACTTTGGTGGATTTGAGTATGAGGGTTGATCAAAAAAATAACATGAGTACATTGTTAAATACTTCAATAAAGTATAACCAAACTCAGTTTTGCTCCCGCTGCCTTTTTAAAAAAAAAATACGTTAGCGAGCATGCATGCTACCGTATTTTTTAAGATAGCTTAAGTTTTACCATGACTACGTCCAACCATACAATGCGTCTCGTCTATGTGTTAAATACAGAAATAGCACCCGAAATTGACACTCTGCCTTTTAATACGGTGTGCCGTATGGTTATGAAAATACGGTAAAAAACAAAAAGCATTCTCCAAAAAAAAAGAAAGAAAAAAATGTAATAAAAATTAAATTGACACTACGCCTTTTAATACGGTGCGCTGTATGGTCATAAAAATACGGTAAAAAACAAAAAGCATTCTCCAAAAAAAAAAAGAAAAAGAAAAATATTTAATAAAAATTAAATTAAATTGACACGCCTTTTAATACGGTGCGCTGTATGGTCATGAAAATACGGTAAAAAACAAAAAGCATTCTCCAAAAAAAAGAAAAAGAAAAAAATAAAATAAAAATTAAATCGATGAAAACTAACAAAAGTCCACCCTGAAAACAAAAACAGAGAGAAAAAAAAAAAACAATCTCAAAATGAATTAAAAATGAACTCCGATGAAAATTCCCAAACTAGCATTTCCAAGTAGTTTACCTTGTCCTCGGCCGTTTCCTTCTCCTGCTGGTGGCTTCTCTGAAGATCACGGAGGGCACGTTCCATGTCAGAGCGGAGCGTCTCTTTGTCCAGGTTAGCCTTTTGCCTTTCCTCCTCGCGGAGTGCGGCCATCTCGGCCAGCTGCTGCTCGTGCTGGCCGCGGACCACCTGGAACTTCTCGCGCAGACGCGACAACTGGCCCTCCAACTCTGAAATGGTCTGGAAAGATCACAGATGCAGGTGTTGTTTTGTGGAATGAGAACAGATGTGTGGCTCCGTGTATCGTGATTTGATATGACCGGCCTCCGGATTGCAATGTGTACCGGTAATTGTAATGTATAATGATGCGGCACGGACAGATGTTTAGTCGTGTTTGAAGCCTCGCAATGGCGAGGTACTGATGATCGTCGTGGTGTCATGATGCCAAAATGTGAGCAGTGTGATGAAGACGACTGTTTCGATACCACCTCTAACTGAGCCAGGAAATGTATTGGTACATTCATGACCAAGTATCGTAAACTGTAGACTAGAGGCAACTTTTTTTTTTCCCCTGCGGCTTTAATCATGGTGAAATTTGTTGATGAATAGACATCTCCACGTGACAAACCCGGTGAAGGTCAGCAATGCAAGTTGCACAAGGAAATGACCTGGATGTCACTATTTTACACACACAAAAACAAACATAAAAACTGTTTTGGAAAAAAAATACAAACATCGTGCCACAAAAGTCAAACAGAAATGTGCTAGATAAGCCACATTCAACTGCTGGCAATATGTGCAAACACACATATGACAAGGATTCATTTCCTTATAACTTCATTAATTAAATACATTGTGTCACACAATGCATTCTGGGACCCAAAAAGGATTTTTTTTTTTTTGAGCAATATAATTACAGGTGACCCCGACTTCAGTATTCGCAGGGAATCAGGAAAACGCCCGCCCGCGAATAGTGAGAATCCGCATATAATGGTAATCTGCATTTTGATAGCTTTGTTTTGTTTTGCCGAAAATCGGCATCGGCCTTAAAATAAATAAATAAATAAATAAATAAATAAAATAATTAAATTAAATAAAAATGTTGGATGGGCCCCTACTCATGACAGACAATTATGCATTCTGAATTATGTACAACTACTGAGACCCGCCAACCGCGCGACACTCGTGGGCATAAAGCGGATTAGAAAATGGATGGATGGATGGATGGATGGATGGATGGACAGTGCTTCCATTTGGTGTGGGTAGTATCGGAGCATTTTTAGACATATCGAATATTGTACAGACAAATGGTATATTTTGTACGGTCATTTGAGAAGTGCTCAAATAAGAAATATAATAGTGGCCTAAAACTTTTGTACTGGTCGGTGTCGGAAAAAAGGAACAATTTTGCATTCACTGAAAGGTGTTCGGGAAGTTATTTGGTTTGTTCCAATTGAAGGAGAGGGCTTTTGTCAGAATGGAGTTAGCCACAGATGGTAACCTTCCAGAAGGTGGCCAGCTTTCTCAACACCATAAAGGAAAAGAGAACATCGAGAAGAGTTTCCCCAAACATGACATTCTTCAATAGTTTGCTCTGCTTGGTGTGTGTGCCACAGACTTTAAGTGTGAGGACCTCTAAAATGGCCATCCCACCTCTCTTGACCTCGCTCTTTTCTGAACTACCCGGCCTTGACTTTGCCCTCTAATAGCTGCCAGGGAGCGTCAACATTACAAAGCAAAATTGCTAGCGAAAGCCACAGAAAGCCCCGAAATAGCCCGCACTTGACAGATGTAATTAAGTCCCATCCCAACGAGTTCAGAACGTGTCAAAACTTCAAAAGGAATCCATGCACTTTCTTGCCCAAATGGCATCACTTGGCTGGAATGATGGAGAGCCCTTGCAGAGAAAAGGAGGTCCTTAAAAATCAATGCCTGATTGTTTTTTTTAAACTTTTTTCTGAAATGGTTTCAAGCAGTCATTCGGGGTTTGTTGTTTTCATTTTGGCACCTGCGCTCCCCCTACAGGTGTGAATTGTTAGTTTTTGGGGCCATGTAAAATGGATAGAAACTGTGAAAAGAAAGGCCTCAGCGTGTCCCAACATTTCATTTGACAAGATTTGCATTTTACATATGAAACATCTTAATGACCAAAGAAATAAATCGTATATGCAGTACTGCCTTGAGCTAAGTGTTTAATTTGTGTCATGACCACGCTCGTAACTGAAAATACTCAAATCACCATTTTGCAGCGAAAAGAATGAAACTGTTCTGAGCCTGCCCTTGAAGAACAACCACATTTGTGGAATCTGTTCAGCACTCTTTCATATTGCACTTTATAAAAAATGACGAAATTAGATCAGGCTCAAAAATGACTAGACAACGGTTTTTGCCACATTTTTTTCCGCTTCAATTCAATTGTGCCACACCATCTGCTTGGCCACATGAGGCAGTATAATCCACACGTGCAAATACATGGAGCCAGTCAAAACTTAGCAGTCAAGGGCACTAATCGTTGTTCTTTGCAGAGGATAAAGAATATGTCTTATGATTATATTGTATTATTAATGATTATATTGTATTTTATATATATATATATATATATATATATATATATATATACACACTGCCTTATTATATTGTACCTTCTGCCATCAAATGGAAAAAAAAAATTTGGGACCAATTGAATGGGAATTGGATAGTTTTTCTCTCTCTCTTTGACTGCTCACTGGGTGAGAATCACTGAAGTAGGTGATCTCTGGTTGCTATGGCAATGACACAGACTATATTCTCAGTATTGGCAGCCAGTGTAGCATCAAATTGATCTAAAGTTATGATAGGAATGGCAAATTAGTCGAAATGGAATGGATAAAATCTTTATTGTCATATTTCTCTGCACCGCATCGTACCGAGAGCCGTTGTTTTGTCCCGCGTACAGTGAAATAAATCCACATTCAATTGTGCAGGCGTGCTTATGAAAATATCATCAATGTCATGAAAAATATCTGACACGTTTCCAATGGTTGTTTTAACAAGAAGTGGGGAAACAAATGTCTCTCTCTTCCCTACCTACATTGCATGTCATAGTTTGTTTTTGTTTTTTTTTGCAGTTGGCTCAGCACTCCCCTTCCCAACACCCCTCTCTCGCCCCGCCCCCCTCACTCAAAAGCCGGGGCATCACAGGACAACGCCATGAGAAGGCAATCACTCAGAACGACTCTGAAGCCTGTTTGTAAGCGAGCACTGGAGAGAATGAAGACGACTTCAAAGAACACGCTTTTTGCTTGTGCGCCACGCCCCCGACGCGCAAAATAAATCCACTCATTAGGAGCGCCGCACTTGCACTGTGACACAGGCGTCAGACAGCATCAGAAATTCACACAGCAATTTCACACGGCATCATCGCCAGTCTCTTTGTGGCACGTTGCCCCTCCGAGGCCAAACAAATATTTAATCCGAGTCCTCCAGAGTCTTTAATGTATAATTCTCATGAACAAATACGGATGATTCTTCAATAAATAAATAAATTATGATCATTTGTGAGCATCATCCAGCCCGTGGCCATGACATTAGGAATGACGCGCATAGAAATAAATACAAGAGGCTAAATGGCAGCGAGCGCCGTGCCCATGGGCGGAGGCTGACGTCAAGCTTTCTGCGGGTGACACCAAATCAAAGGACGCGGGTCAAGGTTTGTCTGCTCGGAAGAACAAAAAGCCTGGCGAAACGTCGCAGTGAAATACGGATCATGAGAAAAGCATTACAACTTATCCAGAAACAGCGGAGTGCTTCACAAACTTTGCAACTTAAATAGTTGAGCACATGGTGAGAAACCAGAGTGCTTTATGAACACAAGATCGGAATCGTGTCTGTTGAGTAGAAATAAATCACCGGATTTGAGTTACGCTGTCCGTGGCCGCCAGTGGCTTCAATCTTCCCGGCGGCGAGTAAGCGTCATTCTTAGTCCATACCTATATAAATCCGTGGGTTTGGAGAGCTTTCTGTAAACAAATCGAGCGATTTGAAAGCGTCACGTGAAGAAGTTGTTGCCCACCTGTTTTACTGAAACTAACAACTAGTTCCCACATCCATATTACGTCATTTCTAAATAAAATGGGGAACAGTGCCTCAGGGTATAAACCATAAAAACAGCTACTAGCCAAAAATGCAGTACAGTGGTACCCTCTACTTACGCAATTAATTGGTTCTGGAAGAAATTTCTTAACTAGAAAATTTTGTAAGTAGAGACGCATTTTCCTTGTAAATGCCCTAATTTGTTCCAAGCCCCCCCGAAATTCAGACATAAATGTTTCCGAAAGCATAAAAATGCATCCAAATATGTATCAAATACATCTTACAATGAGATTATTGCACAATAAATTAAGAGTTATACATAATGTAAAAAACAAAGAATAAAAAATGATGGTCATTTGACTTTTAACTGCGTCCTTATCGTTTTTTGCCCTCTTTAGTTCATGTTCTCTCTCAGAAGTGGTTTTTGCCTGGCGTTTTGTCAAGAACTGATCCGAGGACTTTTGCTTTTGTTGGCTTTTAACAATCCTTTGAAAAAGTCCAAGGCAAACATCAGCAAAGTGAGCGATCGCCCGACTGGTGAACACTTTTTCTGGGTGATCCACATTTATGTAAAACTATCGGAACGCCTCATGGCCCGGGGGCGAATGACGAGGACGCTGCATAGACACGTAGACACATTTGATAGAGGTACCTCTTAGCCAATAGGACGCCTGGAAGATGCTAGGTAATAGCCAATGGCAGAGCAGCTATAAGTATGTTGCGTTCAGGAAACTGTATTTTTACCTTTCGTATCTTGAAATTTCTTTCGTAACTAGAAGCAATATTTTCTGTTCAGGCGTTTCACAAAATTTTGTATGAAGAGACGTCCGTAAGTAGAGGTACCACTGTACACTGTACTTTGTACACTATTATGTCATAAAATATAAAAGAGTCCGCCTCTGCTTTAAAGAGATTAATCAGAATAATAAATGAAAAACGTTCAGATTACGTATGCGACTCGAGCGGGATGGTTTCTCATTAATGTTGTCAGTCAAACAGAGCCCACGTGGCTCAGACTGAAGTTGAGATGCAGTCCACGCACTCGCTGAGTTCATGCTTTTAAACGCACATGACGACTTCCTCCCTATGTGATCCGTTGTCCTAAATGGGAATCAATAGCGCATGAGACGACGTGCAGTCACTTAAGTGGTGATCAAACGCTGGCGCGCAAGCTCAGCCAGACATTTGTCCACTGCTGCAAATCAGTCCCTTGACAATCCCGGATCTGAGAGGCCAGTCACATCGTCAATGCCAACACACAAGTCTAGGAAAAAGCGCCTTTGTTGCCGTCAACACGCTTTGTCATCTTCATCACATTCCTGGGATTGAAATGCTTTTGGGGGGGAAAAAAAAAGGACAGCATCCTTATTTAGCGCTTCTCGGAAGACTGCCACTCAATGCCGTTTGATGACCAGATGGTGCGAACTCAGAGAAAAAAAATCATTATTCAAGACAGGATTTGAGTGGAAGCCTGAAAAATGACATTTACATGGAACAGCAATGCCATTGTTTGCCAAGAAAAATATTTTTTCTCCAATTCGGGCCCATCACTTAATGCCCCAGTATGTTTTTTGATCAGGGTTTTGTTTTTTATTTCTGACGCAGTCCAACAATGCTTTTAATTTAAAGATTTAAAGCCTGTGAAGTGAATTTTGAGATGTGACACATTGAAGAAGAATTTCTGAAAATGCGCAGATAAAGAGCCATGTTAGTATTCATTTGTGGAGCATTAAAACCATTATTCATTTCAGTTTTCCGGATTTTTTTTTTTTTTTTTCCGGTTTTTTTTTTTTTTTTTCCGGTTTTTTTTTTTTTTTTTCCGGTTTTTTTTTTTTTTTTTCCGGTTTTTTTTTTTTTTTTTCCGGTTTTTTTTTTTTTTTTTCCGGTTTTTTTTTTTTTTTTTCCGGTTTTTTTTTTTTTTTTAGTTCCCCCTAGTGCCATTTAGAATCAGTATTTACCTTCCAAGATTGTGATAACATGTGGTTAGCTAGCTAGCTATTTAGCTAGCTAGCTGTTCCTATACTCCACCAAAACTCTTCCCTTTGGATAGTCCGCCGGTGTGGCTGCTTTAGAGCACCTCACTGTCAGCCATGAGTGCACGTTCATCATAGGAACAAGGCAGAAGAGTGAGAACGCCTGAATTTTGATGGCCATTATTCGATTTTTTATTTATTTATTTATTTTTTTATCTGACTTGACAGCCCGTAATCAGACAAGGGGATTCACACAGGCATGGTCACATTAGAACACCTCATTGTTGGCTGCGAGTGCACGAATGTCATGGAGACGAACACATGTCCCTCAATTCGGTGGGAATTTGTCAGACTTGTCATCGATGGGATTTCTATGGGTGAGGGCGCGCCATGGCATATCGCAGCCACATGGGGCGCAAACCTCAGGACTGACGTGTCCCCACGTGACTTCTCCACCAACCACCGAGTCATCACTGGCAACTCGCAGGCAAGTGCCATGAATGCTATTTACGAGAATAAGTGGGAGGATGTCGTCTGCGAGTGTGCGACTGACATTTGATGCCGCTTCTTGCGGCTCCTCGCCGGCACCTGTTCTTCTCCTCTCTCCCAAAGGACACAGATAACGAGGCCTCATTTGTCTTCTTCCTTTTGGCAGCGGGTTGCATGATTAGCTGCGAATCTTTTAGGCATCAGCGGCAAGTACAATGACAGTGTTGTAAAGACATGAAAATGGAAATTCCATTACACACTCTACTTGTGCTTTATTTTTTAAAATAAAAGATGGCTAAGTGATAAAATCACGTGTTGAAGCATCTGAGGTAAAATAGAATGTTTTGATTGGCTGCAACCAGAAGAGAAGCTGTTGCTTCGGTTTCAGTGAGTTTGCTTCTCCCATTTCATTACAATAACAGTTTAACCCTTTCATGCACCCGCTAACTTGATAACATAAGATGTCGACTGTCGTAACCGCAGTCCCTGAAAGGGTTAAAAAAAAAAATTAACTGTAAATTTGTTTCACATTTAACTTTTGACAAAAACCTTAAGTGAATCAAACCTTGGGCAAAACTTATTTTTGAAATTGGCATCTGGCATTGCATATTTGTGTCATAATACATACATCTCAAAATTAATTCAGATGAGCCGCCTGAGTGTTAATGAGCAACATGCGGGAGAGTCCAAAAATATTCATACGCTGGCCGCATTGTGAGTTTAAGTGAATTTGCAATTTCTTTTTTTTTTTAACATTTTCACCAAAAAGTAATAAAACGCTTTAAAAGTCTCTACAGCTGCATAAAAAAATGCTGTCAATGTGACGCTACTCAAAATTCTGGCTGATTTGATGATCAGCTGAAACACGCTGGACTTGACAATGCATTGAAATGAAAGCGCACGAGCCTGATTTTGGTTCTCTCGGTTCAAACACAAAACTGGAAATCGGTTCTAAAACCTTCCATTTTAGGGCTGGCCAAAGGTGATGCTCGAGCTCCCCTAAAACAGGTCTCAATAATCTACAGAGCACCAAGTCCATGCGGTGGAGCGGGTCTTTGTCTTACATAGCTTTAGTCATGGGCAAGTCTTTTCACTTATCCTGTGTATTGAATATTTGCTAGTCTTTGTTTGAACAATAGCATGGATACACATGACATAAAAAGACCCAGAATTAGACGTCTTATGGTGTATTTTAATTGCCTGGTGTGCTGATTGTTTACACAACAGCAACACAGTAAAAAAATGAATAAATAAAAATTAAAAACATTTTAAAAAATCAATAAATAGAAGCAAATGATCTGATGCGGCACTTTCAATTTGCTTGAAACAGGAACGCGCTGCGATGAGAGCAACGCATTATTGTGACATATTCAAGAGGATATTTGCCATGTCATACTGCTATCATGGCAGTATGGATTAAAAAGTAACCCCTTTTAATTGCAGTCACTTTACTTTTTTCACTACAGCGCGGCAGATTTCACAGTTCTCTCAGCTCTACAAGTTGTCTTCCGTAAATGTTTAAAAAAAAAAAATGGTGATCTTTATAAATGTTGTTGCGAGTCTGTCAGTTCCAACTCCGATTCGGCCGAACAGCGCCGGGATCAAGGATAAAGTCAAAGCAGAGAGGTTTCCCTGCGGTTCAAGAACCTCACAGTCCTGTTCTTTATCCGTGCGAGGCCTGACGGAAAAATTGGGGACCGGCTGGCATCTGATCGCGACTATTCTGGTGGGAGTTTGTCTTCTGTCCCCTCCTGAAATCCCAACACTGCTGAAATGTTCCCGACAAAGGGCATACACTAAACTAGTGTCGTTGGGAACTTTACGGGACATTTTTGAAAAGCAAAAAAAAAAAAAAAAAAAAAAAAAAAAAAAAAAGGAGACTGCAAAGGAACAAGCTAGAAAACATACAGCACAATTCATAGCTGTGAAATGAGCGAAAGAGACAATGAGAATATTGTTACGTTCACGTAATCCACGATATGAATGTAAACTGAAAACATCATTATGCAAAAATTCCAACATATCGAAAACTGAAATGCATTGTGTTGTACTTCTGCTCTGAAAATTGTGATTGAGAGCCAAAAGCATTCAATACTTTCGCGGAAGAATTACACCGGATGGATCGAGTTTATTTTCTCCATCTGACCATCTTTTCTCGGCTAACAGCGTACAAACCGTTAAAAAAAAAAAAAAAATTCTCCCATCTTCAAGCGTGTGCCGCTTACTCAAGTGGCTTCCCACTGAGCGCAAAGCTAACCTCGGCTGAAGTTAAGGCAAAAATGACCAAAGCGATTACGGGATGAAGACCTGCTGCGGATTTCGATCAAAACACACAAAACTAAATAAAAATCATTCGCTCGCTTGGGGTCGTTAAATACGGCGCCGAACACACCATTGCAACAACGCATGTTGTAATCAGAAACTAACCGGAGTGGTACAGGAGGGAACAAAACAAACATATATAAAGAGTATAAGGAGCTTGACCGGTTGGTCTTCGAAAAGACAAAGACGATTTTTTTTTTCATGGAAACTTCCAACAGCGAAGTAACCCTGCTTCCCGAATTTCTCCCAATACAACCACAAAACGGCAGCGACGAAAGTCATGATGAAAACATTTCAACGAAATCCAAAGTTAAGCTCGACTGATATCCGTCGGTTTTCTTTGTTTTTAATTCGTCTTCGTTCCAAATTCTTACACCGCGTTAATTCACACTTTCTTTCCCGTCGTAGCGTTAGCCAAATGTTTTCCGAGACGCTTCAACAAAACATTGCGCCACCTTTGAATTTCTTCGGCAGGAATATCAATACCAAGTGTCGTAACCCGCTGTGCTTTAGAAACGGCAGGAAAACGGAGGATCATACGAAATGGTGGTCCGCAGGAGAGCGGGCGGGTCAGCATGTGTGCGTGCGAACATTGGATCAGTGGAGACCCCCTACCTGGCCATCACGCTTCCTCCACTCCTGGGTGCGCTGCTGGTGCGTCTGCAGGGCGGCCTTGGCCTGGCTCTCCAGGCTGCTCACCTCCCGCTGGCGCTCCTGGACAAGGCTGTCCTTTTCGGCGCAATGCTGCTGGTGCAGGCGCGTCCTCTCCTGCTCGTGCTGCACGCGCTGCTCAGCCATCTGATTGGACAAGCGGGCAAAGAAAGACTTCATCAGCCAACACATAGTCGGCAAAGCCCGTCGTCATTACAACTTGTCCGTCCGCCCGTCCGTCCGTCCGTCCGACCACAACCCGGGAGTCGCTCTGGTCCACTTGGCTTGGCGCTGGGACCATTTCAAAAAGTTTCCTTGGCTTCTTTGCATTTTCGTCATGAGGTGGCGTGTTTACATCTGGCTAGCTCCCTCCGCCCTCTCACCTCGCCCGTCCGTGTAGCCCGGCCCTAATCGTGCCATTCGTCTCTCTTCCAATCTGCCCCCCCCACTTGCCTTCTTCTGTGATCGGCATATAAAAGAGCATCTAGCTTGGGCTGTGTATGAAAGCTGGCAGGGGTTAGCCATCTGGCTGCAGCGACAACCCGATGCCCCATGCTAAGCGTCTTGACAGCATGTGAAAAATCGGCTTAGGCGACGACTACAACCATTAGAAATGGTATTTACAAAAACAAAAGGAAGTGGCAGGAACTCGACTGAGATAACGGAAGACTCCGGCTTTTGCTGAAATGCGACGTTCATCCGTTCGCTCGAACCGAAGTGACAATCACTGGGAGTCGAGCCGCGAAAGTTTCGTCATGTACAGTAGTGTCTCGAAATGAGCCTGGAACCAGTTCCCTTTCTTCTTCTGGGATGCAAAGCCACAATTTCTCAGAGATTAACCACGCTGGCAGCTCAAGCTCAAGTTTGAATCCCATCACAGCCGAGAGCAAAGTCACCTGCTGAGAGGTGAGTCTTGCCAGCAGCCGCCGAGCCTTTCCCAGGCTCTGCTCTGTTCTCAGTAACCCCCTACCCGCCCTCCCGCGGCGGGACTAGTGGCTGAGAGGACCGGGAACCCCCACACCAGCGTGCCAAGCCGGAGACTTGGAAGGACGGCAAGGGGCCCGGGGGCCTATTCGCTTGCTGGCTTTGAAGCTAATCCCCCAGGCGCATTGTGTTTGACGGCACCCTACCTGGCTCATTGGCCGAACAGAGATCCGGCGTCTCTACGCCGGGTGCCTGGCCTAGCCCTAAACCTATCGCCAGACTTTGTGTGCTATTCAGAGCAGGTGATGAATGAGCGGCTATCGACAGGAAGCCGGATTCCGTCCTCACTCTTGAGAAGACGATCACTATGCTCACTTTATTTTAGTGGCCAAATAACAAGCCTGCGGTGTTCGTAGGCGCTTTGTTACATGGCTTCTGAAAAAGGCTTTGGGGGAGAATTATTGTTGGATGAAATGTATTTAATCCTTCGGGATCAGTGACCAATGTGACAGACAAATCCAGTCAGAAAACACAATGAGAGGAGTCTGCGAGCAAAACTGTTGGCGAAATCTACCACATGCTGTCACTCGCGATGCTAACATGGTCAATTGTATGCTCCGTTGACAAATTAGCACTTCCCTTTTTCAACACACAAAAGATGCAAATCAAATCCACAGTCAGAATGTAGACTGACAGACTGATGCATAATCGGGCAAATTTCTTTGACAACTACTCAGCAGGACATGCGGAAGCAGAAATGTGGTGGAGGCTTTCTGTACGCGCCTGTTAAAGGTCTCGGACCAATTGGAATTTGCAGAAAACTAGGGATCAGAAGTGACAGCAGAATGAAGAAACTGGCGAGAAAGATCCATTGTAAGACAAGCCCGAGTTAAAAAAAAAAAAAAAAAAAAAAAAGATGGGCAGGAGATGACAGAAAGCCGACCCAGCAAGACGTGACATCACACGGTGTCGGCATGCGGCGCAGCGAAGGATGCCGCGATTCTTTGTGAGCCGACGTGGCGCTTCCAAATGGGAAGGCAGAGTAGGTTACAGCGCAGCTTGGTGCCACAGATGCAGAGCAGTTTGGGGTGTTAGCGCACAGCACGACTCCCCTCAGCCTGCCTTGACATGGAATGGTGTTCAGGGCACTGAGGTAAAGAATGAGAGACCGGCGGCGGGGGGAAATCACAAATGCTTGAGAAGGACGACGACGTGGAGGACAAGAAACCAGATGCCCTTGTCTGCTCTCAGCGGGGGAGCCTGGGAGGGACCGTGAGAGGAAAGGACGTGAGCTCTCAACGCGGACACTCAAGTGACAATGACCATGAAGTGGCGCCGAGCACACACATCAAAGTGTGCAAATTCCGGCCTTCGCTATAAAGGTCATCCCAAATTCCCGACGGGGTGTCAAACCGCACCGCGTCACGCCGAAGTCAAGAAGGCAGCAGTCGGCCGCGTCACCGTGCTGGGCGCGGTGCAAAACACAATTTCCCGTTTCAAAGCACGGCGGAGGCCGCTCTTGAAGAAAGTTCCTCGTGGAGGTCCGAGTGAACCGACTCGACCTCTCCGAAGTGATGTCAGCTAACTCGCTGGGGTTGTTTTGAACATCGCACTTGTTTGCATGCTGGCCTGGCTAAGTTTAGACGGGGGGGGGGGTTTGATGCATTGCACGTGCAGACAATGTGCATAAACGCCCCGGGGACACTCATTTTGCATAGAAAGCCAGATGCACCACGGAAACCGACTGCCTGTGCTTTCTATTTTTCAGGTTGGTCACAAAATAAATGACAGATTACAACCATAACATTTCTGAGGTTTGAAATTCTCTCTGTTCTCTCACTGGCAAATTTCAAAACCACACACACGCCACGAACGGTGAAGACTTTAAATTGTCCCGAAGTTTGAAAGTGTGAACGGACGTTTGTTTATTCATTGGCTTCCATAATGATTTATCAGAATTCAGTTAGCAAAACTCCGGCCCATTAATTATTTTGGTCTGATATAGGCCCATATATTTGTCTGGCCGATGAAAGGTTCATTGTAGATCTAGTGGTTACATTGTTCAGCGACATGAGAGGGTCAAAATATTCTACCTGGCTGTCAGTGTGAGGCAGCGCAGCTTTCCAGCCCCCCACTCATCTGCAACATCTAAAATAAATGTATTGTTAATTGAATAACTCCCAAGAGCTAATTGGAAAACGTGAACAGCGCTATCTTTCTAAAGGCCGACTTGCTAATACCGTTCTTTTGAATTTCGAACAAGTATAGATTTTGACGACGCAGATGACAGCGTGCCGCGAATAATCCACATATGGGATGTATGTTTCCTCATTTCTCTTTAATCAGTGAAGTCGTGTCACACGCGTTCATCCGCTCGTGATTCGTCACGTCGACAGGCCCTTCATCCGCGTGTGTTTTTTATCTTTTGAGACAAAAGGGCTTGCTGACGTGCCGCTAACCCGGCGTCGCCTCCTGTCAACTGCACCCCCCACCACTCGGGAATATTTCCCACAATTCCCACTTTGATTGTGTCGCTTTTCCTCGTGAGACAGGCTTCATCGTTCCTGAGCGCTGATAAAACTACACCATTACTTTCAGTTGCACTGCTCGGTGAATATGTTTCATTCCATAAATAAACGCGTATCCGTTTGATGGTTCTAAGTGCCGTTTTGGTGATGTGGCGACGTAACCAGCTAAATGCGTAAGCGTACGTATCGTATGGTTTGGGACATACTTGCGAAGGTGGCTATGCGTGGTAAATGCCAACGTTACCTGCTGCACGCTGAGGTCATTTTCGTACAAGAGACACAATAAAAGCTTCCTATTATTCGAAGCGGCCTATTTGATGCGGGCCGCCGTGCTTTCGAAAAACAAAATAAAAGCCCTGAGCAAATGTTACATAAAGCCCGTAAACATTTATCCCGCAAACGCTGGAAAGCTAGAGTAACAAACAGTTGTTTGATGGTTGAGTAAGTGTTGTCATCGGCTTAGTGCGGTCCTCAGACGACTTTGGAGAAACTCAAATGGCCTACGATAGAAAAAAAAAACCCAAAAACATTCTCTAACTGTGATGTAAAGGTCATTGCACAGCAATCAAAGGCTACATGATTTCATGGATCACAAATTACAGGGTGCAATTATTTTTCTTGCGAGGCAGACGGCTTAATTATGCGCTCTTAAAACAAAGACACATGTCCTTGTGAAAAGTCAAAAGGAACTCATGCTCAAAGTTCGATGGGGTTTGCATGTCCTCGCGGTGGACGGCGGTGCCTTGAGTTCCGAGTGTTGCGTTCATTTGGCGTTTGGCCGATTTTTTTTATTTTATTTTTTTGCTTCGACAATCAAAAACACGGCACGGCAAGCGGAACGTCCTTCATGACGACGATTCCTCAAAAAGAGGCTTCAAGCTTTTCATTGCCACTCCAAATTATGGTTTTCTGCCCAACCAAACTTAAAAAATAAATAAATAAATAAAAATTAGACAACCACATAGCTTTCCGTCACTGAGGTGCATTTAGCCTAATGCGAATGAACACTGCAAATCGCCAGTAGTGAGCATCGGTGTTATGTTGGAACAGTTTATGCACCGATATTTGAATGCAAACAATGGAGCAATAATTGTAATACTGACAGGCATATATTCTTTATCCTCTCCGAAGAAAAACTACTCTTATGGCTTAAAGAGGAGTAACTTGTAATGGCCTCCATGTTATTACGGTGCCCCAATTTTCTCCTCTTTAAGTACATCAACTTAAAGACTTGTCGTTCTCTCAATACGACCACGAAAAATGAGCCTAACATCATATCAGGACAGCATTTTGCATGAATCATTTTGGACTTCCAATGTACTCTTGTTAATATGATCAATTAGTGGTTCTGTTTCGTTATGCTCAAATATAAGAAATCAACATCCCATTCATCGAAATACTTCAGGCTTCAATTTGGACTTTGGAGGGGAATCGGGTGACAACAATTTAAAGAATTCAGTCATTCTCTTGTTTTTGGGAAGTAAACCGTGTCTGACGTGAGGCAATGATGTCATCGTTATGGTCTGTTTTCCTGTCAGAGCAGAACAAACCCGGCCTCAAGTTGAGATGAGTTTCCAAAGAAGAACTGCTTATTGCGTGTTCTCCACAGATAATACGCAAAGCTGCAGCTTAATTGAATCCAGTACCCCGTCAAAGTTGTCACCCTATCAGCGAGCAAGATTTAAATGGCTTGCGAAAACGCTTTCTCCGCCTCTAATAGGAGAGGACATGATGCGACGATAAGGTCACAGCGCATCTGCGACGCAGATTACCTTAAATTCCCACTCGCTCCGTTCGGCTGTTGAGACGCGATTGGATCGTAATCAAAAGTGTGTCCCTTATCATGAGAAATCAATCAGATGGGGGGGGGGGCGGGAGGGGGGAGACGACTAACAAGATGATTCCACTGTCAGTCACCGTGGCTCGCTCGGCGAAGGGGAAGGCGATTGGAAACCAAACGGAGATGAAATACTTTCCAGCGGCCTGCCGCCACGGAAGGCGGCGACTCGCCGAGTTGAAAAGTAAACACAGACCTGCTGCTCGTATTTTTGTCTGAGGGCGTCGAGTTGCTGCGAGAACTCCTTGGATTGATTCTCACGAAGGCACCTGGAGTGTTGCAGGTCCTCCTGCACCTTCTCCATCTGCAGCAGAATATGACAAACATTTCCGAGTCACCAAAAAAGTAGCAGTTTAACTAATTAACCATGAAAGACTGAAAGCGCTCTGTATGTGGGTCATAATGTGTGAAATGAATAAATAAGAACCCCCCCCCCCCACCCCCCAAAAATTTCAAACAGAATGCCTTCAAATTATTTTTTTGGAAAACAAGGACGGACGGAAACATTTTTGTTTATTTTTTTGGCAACACGTTCCGCCGTGCTGGTGTCACGTTAGAAAGTAGCAAAAGGGGGAAAGCAGGAGGATGACAGGGGTACTCTCCTCCGTCCCACGGCTTTGATGTGGGCTGCGGATGAAGTCACATGAGGAGGAGGGGGGGAATCGGGATGCCAGGGGCTCAATGGGGAGATGAGCAGCAGCAGCAGAGATGGACTGGAGATATAAAGGGGAGCGAGGGTGGAGGAGGAAGACATCAAGAAAAACATGTTCCCAGCATCAAACTGAAAGACGATTTGTAACCCTCCCCCAATAAAAACAAAAAAAACCCCCACAGAATACAACTTTGACCTGCTCGGCTAGGGACCCTAAATAGACAAGTGCGTGCTTTTCCAAATCACGTCTCATCATCTGCATATACCACAGGGGGACTCCAATTAAGCTGCAAGACCATCTCAAGGATGATCAGTGGAAACACGATGCACCCTCAGCTCAAGTTGCAGTTTGTGGCAAAGTCTGGGAATTTATTTTCCCATTTTCTTTTCTTTTTTTTTTTTTTGAGCAATTTGCAAAAAAACAAACAAGCCCCCCCCCCCCAAAAAAAATGCAATAAATGAATAATTAAATCACATAGTCATGACGGAATGTTGCGTGTAAAATTCTGAGGGGGAAAATAAATGTATTTCATTTTGGAATGAGGCTAGAACAAAAAATGTAAAAAAAAGAGAAGCAGAGTGGACTGACCGAAGGAAACTCGAGATGGTCATTCTTAAATACATGTTGTAATCCTTTTTAAAAAATATATATTTAGTGTGACATTGAACTTCGACTATGAGTGGCAATACAAGGCTTGATACCTCTTTTTATCAAAAAAAAAAAAAAGTAGATGCCACCCCAAGGCACCACTGTACTACTTGAAGACGACTGAATTGTCATGCCTAGTCGTTATACGTCACCGGCATCCAGAGATGAACAAAGATGCATCATTTGTCAGAATTGTTTGATCATTTTCCGAGCAATTAAGTCTAATTGGATAATTTTGCGTGGCACACCTGATGATCTCACGAAAGTGCAGTGTTTGGGAATCGCTGCTCTGCACTTCCTCCGCCACCAAAGTTGAGAAAAAAAAAGATAAAGCCTTTAAAATGTTCATGACCATCCTCATGGGGGGGAGGGGGAGCAAAAGAAAACCACCTGTAGCCAAACTGACTCCCTGCACCGCTCTCGATCGGAGAAACTTGGCTTAAATAACGGCAGCCCACGCCGTTTGGAAGGCTGACAACAAGGCACTCATTAGCGCGCCTGCAGTTCTAAGCGCGACCAGTTCCCTCGGCCACACCCGACGGCCGGCCGTGAGAAAGTGGCGACTGTGCCTGCAGGACATTTGGAGCATTCGATGACTTTCAAAAGCATCAACCCGCAGAGTCATTATCATGTGATTAATGAGGTATGTGTTCATTATTGTGGTTACGCTAGTGTTGAATTACAGTGCAGTCTCCCGAGAGGTGATTTGCTGCACTACGAGTTGCCAGTATCGGTAGCAATCAGCTCCATTTACAACCTCAATTCTCACAATTGGCTTGGCTGCTTCCAAAATTGCATGGGACACGTTGCATTGTCACTCGAATCTGCCCACGGCCAACGACAATCAGTCGTGCCGGCCCCATCACTTTTCAACTGTATGAGGAACGGGAGTGTCTCTTGAACTGGTCAGACTGCAAATTTGTCATCTGCATGTCGCCATCCTCTAATTGGGCGGGTAGAGCAAAACTTGATACTTCCGTTGCGATTTTTACACATTGCATAAGAAGCATCTTGAGTGAGCAGGATGCATTTTATCATCCAAAACAAGCACAAAGGCAAAACAACAATTTCATGATGTCATTAAGTCGATTAAAAGCCGGCAAGCGAGAAGACGCGAGAAAAGAATTCCAGGGCAGCCAGCGTGGCGCCCTCGCACATCTGCGGTCAGGCTGTGCTTGCGCCACGACAAAACAAAAATGTTTGCAAGTGTGTGCGTCCGCATTGTCTGGCCTTTCGAAGCGCTCGCTCATTCCGGCGTAATCGCAACGCTGAGGTTTCCATGCGCGGGAATGCAACTGCATTTGCGGCGGGATGCGAGACTGAATGATGCCAGAGCACAGATGGAATAAGAAACAGGTGCACTTAACGTGTCACGGTTTTTATTTGATATAAAGCGTCTGTCTGCGTGTGTGTGTGTGTCTAGCATGCGTGCGCGTGCCAGAGCCCGACCTGGAGTTTGAGTTGGGCCTCGGCCTTCTCGGAGCTGAGCTTCACCTGCCTCCTCAACTGCTCCAGCGCCATGTCGGCCTCTTGGAGGTGCACCCTGTGGCTCTCCCGGCTTCGGTCCAGCTGGTTCTCCGTGTCTCTGTCAACAAAAGACAGACAAAAGGAAAATGCTATGAAGCTGTCCAAATTCTGGAAGAAATTTCTGAACTAGAAAATGTTGTAAGTAGAGACGCGTTTTCCATGTAAATGCCCTAATCCGTTCCAAGCCCACCCAAAATTCAGACATAAATGTTTCCTAAAGCATAAACATGCATCAAAATTTGTAACAAATATATGTTGCAATTAGATTATTGTGCAATAAATGAGAGGTGTGCATCATGTAAAAAACAAAGAGTAAAGAGTAAAAATGACGCTCATTTAACTTGTAACTGCGTCCTCATCATTTTTTGCCCTCTTTAGGCCATGTTCTCTCTCAGAAGTGGTTTTTGCCTGGCATTTTGTAAAGAACTGATTCGAGGACGTTTGATTTTGTCGGCTTTTAACAATCCTTCGAAAATGTCCAAGGCAAACATCAGCATAGTGAGCGATTGCCTGACTGGTGAACACTTTTTCTGGGTCATTCACATTTACGTAAAACTATTAGAACACCTCATGGCCTGAGCGGCGAATGACGAGGACGCTGCATAGACGCATATCCATCTATCTACACAAATAGACATATATGGTAGAAGTCCCTCTGAGCCAATGGGATGCCAGGATAATGCTCGGTAATAGCCAATGGCAGAGCAGCTATAAGTATGTCGCGTTCAGGAAACTCGGAGCTGCGAGTAGCAGCCCATTCTGTATTTTCACCTTTCGTATCTTGAAATTTCTTTCGTAACAAGAGGCAATATTTTCCTGTTGAGGCGTTTCGTAACTTGAAAATTTCGCATGAAGAGATGTTTGTAAGTGGTGGTACCACTGTATACCAAAATACATCTAAAATGAACTCCAAAACCTCAGGTTTGATCTTAATTGACCAAAATGAAAAACTTTGTAACTTTTTTTTATATATACACCTTATCTGTCGGTAAAATTATGTTTTGAGTATATTCCGCCCTATGTGCGTGTGTGCGTGTGTGTGTGTGTGCGCATACATGCGAATCCGCATAACACCGCTATTGCTGGCAAATGTCAGGTCATACACGGGGAGACGGCTGACAGGCATGGTGAGAGCTGTCAGCAGTTTGCAACAAGCAATATAAGAGCGGCGAGGAGCTGTCAGTTGTTCAGGTGGGCTGCAAGGAGTGTGCGCGCGCGCCACGGTAGAGGCACTGTGCTCAAGGTGAAAGGGTTGTTTTTTTTTTTTGTTTGTTTTGTTTTTTTTTAAATAAAATAATCTTGGTAGGTGATCATGCAATCAAGACAATTGCATTTCCTGAGATCTAATACTGTGGAACCATCAGCGCTCGATTTGGGGACGCTTCGATTTCAATGTGGAACGATTCAATTCGGTTCCATTGAGCGGAATTTTGGCTCTGTTCAAGAGGGAAAGATGCAATGAGTTTCTTGTTGTCAGTTTACAAATTGTACATGTGAATGACCGGCCAATATCTCACCAATAGAAAACGATTGGATACGTATCTCGATGTAATTGAAAGTGGAACGGACTCGATTTGGCTTGATTTGATACACTTTTAAACTCTTTTAAATCCAAACTGATTTCCTGATTGAAATCCTTTTTTTTTTCGTTACTCAGACATAATTCGTCACCACTCTTCACCTTCAACTGGAGTTTTTTTTCAAACACGTTTCGTAACTGTACGCTTCATTTGTTTCCGCGGCGACACCTGTGCAGTTGTTTCCATTCCTCTTGAATGTAAACACAGTCGTTATTAGATCGGGGTCACTTGAAAAGCGGAAGAATGCATATCGGCACTCGATCACAACGGGACTTTCTGTGCAAAAATCAACCCTTATTCCCCTTCTAATGAATATTCTCAATGTGAATGATTCACTTTCCCCCCTTAAGGTGAAAAAGCAGAAGGGAGAGTCCATTTTTCGAGCTGGCGGATGTTACTTCAAGCCAATTACAACAAAAAAAAACACAAAAGGGGCGAGGGAGCACTTAGATGCTGTACTGCACATTAATTTATGTTTAACAGACTATCAAGTGTGTGTGTGTGTGTGTGTGTGTGTTCAGTTTATAGAGGAAGGAAGGCATAAAAAAGGAATGAGGGCAGAGGATTTAAAAAAGAATATGTAAGCTTTCGCGTCTCTTCATAGAGTTCTGTCTCTTTGTAATTGTGGTCTCTCTCATGTCGGACATCAAACGACAAAGACGCCCCCCACTCTTCCCTTTCCCAATTTTGTGTACTTTGTAATTATTAACTCATTCACTACCAGCCAATTCTTGACGAAGTCTGAAAAGACGTTTAAAAACGTCTTTGGGAGTGAATGAGTTAATCATTAATGCAAGTGCAACCTCGCACGTTCAAGCAGACACAAAAATACACGGGGAGATTACGGAACGTGACAAGGGGGACGAGCGAGATGCTTCGAAGAACTTCCGTGTAAACCCGACAAATTAATCGTGGGAAACGAGCGGCAACGGCCTTCGCTGACGAGCAAGCGTTTCCCGACTTGACCGATAAGTCCGCTTGCGGAATGACTGGGTTGGAGCTGGCTCAGCCCAGCCTTTACCTCCGAGGATACACGGAGAAAATTTACCCACAGCAAACTTCGAAACCGTGTGACACATTGAAACATATTATGCTCCAGAACTGGAGAGTCCGTGACCACATGGAAGCGACAGCTGTTCCTGGGAAAATAACTATATTCCTCTGGGACCGTGTGTGTGTGTGTGTGTGTGTGTGTGTGTGTGTGTGTGTGTGTGTGTGTGTGTGTGTGTGTGTGTGTGGTCATAAGAGTGGTAGACAGCGTGTCACCGTCAATAACAGAGCAATGAGGACGCGATGAGAGGACACAGAAAAAGACTCGGTCGCGGAAGCCTGGCAGCGAGACACACGCACGGAGAGGAAGAGCCACGGTGCCAGCGCCACGGCGGGCCGCCTGCCTTGAAATGGATCCCTGGTCAGGAAAGTGGAAGGAGAGGAGGCTCAAATTAAAGATGTGCCTTCGCTTAAGAGGAAGTCTTCTCATCCTTAAATTCCAAAACGGGTGTTTTCACGGGCCGGGGAGAGATGGAGGTGAAGGAGAAGCGTCCAAAGCGGCTGGCAATTGCAGACAGGAAAGGACGCTGGGATGGCACCGTTTTTGGAACTGAATGGTGACTCCGCGTAGGATGCGGATAAAGAGCGACGTGCTATATATAAAGCAGCACAAATTCTCCACCAAGGGTGAGAGGTGGTGTTTTCATCACGGTTGGTTGGTTGTTTGATTTTTTTTTCCCTAACCTTAAGTGAACCAATGACACTAAAATGTCACACTCGTAAAACTGCTGGGTTAAAAGTCAGCCATTTTCCAAAGAATGTTACATTCAATTGACTTCAACTGCCCAAAAGGGCGACCAGCTTCGGCACTTTAGCCCACCCAAAGTCTTCAATCCGATCCGCTGGATCAAAATAATGAACCCAACCTTTGGTAAGAGTAACCCAAACTCCTGAAAATCCTCAGCTACCCAGCAAATGGCTTACATCGGCCATTCCACCAAATCGGAGCCATTTCACAAAATAAAACTCATACACTAAAAAAAACACAAGTTGTACTTTTGAGGGACTCATTTAAGTTGGAATGACAAAAAAAAATGTATCGAAGTTTGTTATCTTGAAATTTTGAATTCACCTGACTTTTTCATTTCAATTCACCGTTGAGCTGAACTTAAAATTACTGTTTACTAAAATACTGGAACTTGGGAGGAAACCGGAGTACCCGGAGAAAACCCACACAGACATGGGGAGAACATTGCAAACTCGACACAGGGAGGCCAGAGTTGAAATCGAAACCCTGCGCCTCTGTACTGAGAGGCCAACATGCTAACCAGTCGACCACTGGGCCACCCAAGTTGGACAATTCAACTAAACAAATGTTGCTAATGAGAAAAAATGGCTTTCAAGCACCCCCCCAAAAAAAGTGTTTACAGAACTAACTGTCCCTTGTATTGTCCCCCAACTTCAGCAAAAACAAGTCATCAAATTGTTTTGGAGCAAACAGCTTGTTTGCTTTGTTGTACTAACCAAAATTGCCGCCATTAGTGTCATTTATATGTTTAAGTAGTTGTTCCAACTTACTGTTTAAGCTCGCCACAATGCCATTTTTTTTTTCTTTTGACAGTGTATTCTGCCAAAATCGGATGAAAACGCATACAAAGAATAAGATAAATGGGAAGAAAATGAAAAGATCCATCCAAAAGGAGTTTGGTGTTGAATACGTTTATTTTGTGTAATTACGTGCCAAATCGCACGCTGTCTCAGTATGATGTAAGACCCTGTCATTTTGCCAATACACTTGAACAGCCTCATCTGGCTTTGTCAAAACTGAACGGGATTCGTTGGAAACATGACTTTCATGGCAAAGTTAACCCTTTCGGGGACAGCGGTTACGACGGTGGACAGCTTATGTTATCGGGTTAAAGGGTGCATGAAACTTACTTTTCGCAAGGGCATAAATCACTCTCCGTTCTTCCTGTCGTCACTTATACTAATTTGTGAGATAGAGTTTATGCATTTGAAGAAGCGTTCTTAAATATGAACGCCTTTGTTTTTCCGAGTTGTATGAAAGCATTTGCGGGTGTGCGAGTGCGCGCGAATCTGTGTCTGAACTCATCCAAATGGAATGATAACGAAGCCACAGACACTTCAAAGGGGCCCCGGATTGAGGGGGGGGGCAGGGGGGGAAAGAGGGAGGGCATGAAAAGAGAGAAAATACAAAACTGAAATATTCAGCGTCCTCTGTAAGAAAAAAATAAACCGGGCTTGGTTTTTCATCCACATCCCCAGAGAAGGAGAACAGAAGACTGATACGGAATAAGAGACAGACCAAAATAAGCGAGCGCACAAGAAAAGCAAGAAGAAAATAATCAAGACAGAGCAAAGGACTGCTGTCATGAAGGAGAGAAGCATTCAAGCGGGACGCGTGCTCATTGCAGAGCCATGTCGCTTACATACACCTGCACAATGAGATGCCGTGACATCCACTATG